AGACATAAGACACAGACTTTAGCTCATCACTTCGCAGAATGATGATGATTCTGGAAGATCAAGTGTACATGCACAAGTAAGGGTGCCTTCATACCGCGCCGGCAGCCGCCGCTAGCAGCCCGTAGCAGCCGCCAGCAGCCGCCAGCAGCCCGTAGCAGCCGCCAGCAGCCGCCAGCAGCCCGCAGCAGCCCGCAGCAGCCGCTGACCGCTTTTGTTAAAGAGGCGCAAAATCATCAGAATCATCAGAATCTTACTACTTTGAGTGCTCCTGCCTACGCTTTTCATCTTACACGCTTTTTCTTCTGTTACCGCCAGTGTGTAGCTCGACTTTGCATATTACATTTGTGTTCATTGTTCTGCTGCCGCACAGCGCATCCTATCGGTGCCCAAATTTCACTTTTGCAAACTGTCTTGTCTAAAACGAATGTGAGTCATTGTCAAAATTGAGAGAACCCACCCGCGAATCAACTCGGCGAAATTGCGAAGTAGTAGAATGCAATGCAGATATGCACCGATAGCCAAGAAAAACATTGAAGCAAAAGCATACTCAAAAAGTAAACAAATTGCACACCTGCAGGAACTGGACGCATTCAAAGTCAGAAAAAGTCACACCGGAAAGAATCTTTTGCAAACTATGGTTCAAAACAGGATGACCATGGGCGGCATTGTGATGAAATGGACACAAATATGATTTGTGAGATCGAACACCCACTGGCAACAACAGAAGAATAGGCAGGAGCACTTAAAGTAGTTTTTTAATGATTCTGCGCTTCTATAACAAAAGCGGCCAGTGGCGGCTACGGGCTGCTGCGGGCTGCTGGCGGCTGCTGGCGGCTGCTACGGGCTGCTACGGGCTGCTGGCGGCTGCTACGGGCTGCTAGCGGCGGCTGCCGGCGCGGTATGAAGGCACCCAATACGGAGCGGGCAGAGACTGACGTTAGCCCACCAAAAAATATCGATCTTATTGATTTTAAGATTTTTTTTGCATTGTTTATCCCAGAAAGCTCGAATCTCACAGGAACAGGTTTCGTAGCATGCTGATTAAGAACGATAGTCTCATGTCCTGATACCACCTTCTTACACCAGTTTCTTGATTTTTACGAATTCTGCCGCACTGCTGCCGTAGTCCCACTGTGGGAAAGTAGTGAACAAAGTGGACACTCTAATCATGATCAGCAGGTGAAACAACCCCAAAACACAATTCTTCACGACAATCCATGATGTTTGTTTCGTACAGAATGACTACCTCCGTAACCTTACCGTGTAATGCCAAAAACTGAAGTAAATCATTTTTTAATAATCAGCGCCTTCGACTACCACTTTGGGGAATTCTTGGAGACATGTTTTGTACTTTTCAAAAAACTTCCATTCCGGACAATACGACCTACGTGGGTCGTAAGACAGACAGAGCGGAAAAGGCTCTGGTCCGAAACAGCAGTAATCAGAAAATCGGCTTTGTCATGAATGTGTTAGAGGCAGCGTCCAGGCAGATCTGGACCTATGGGGCTTTTACGTGGAAAGTACTTTTGGGGCCCTAACTAAGGCACTGCCCAAGCGGCAGTTCAGGTAGTGCTCTAATGGCTGAAATGTTCCACTCGAAACTGGCCCCGCGAACGTATTCGCATGGGTTCATGGCAGTTTCGCGCTAGGATCCACGCCATGAATCCATGCGAAACACGGTAGCGGGGTCCAGTTTCGAGGGGAATATCTCAGGCGTTAGGGCACTACCTGAGCTGCCGGTTGGGCAGTGGCTTAGTTAGAGCCCCAAAAGTACTTCCCACGTAAAATCCCCATAGGTCCAGACTTGCCTGGACGCTGCCTTTAAATGAAGCTTCATATCCTTTATGTCCTAGCTTAGGTATGCAACAGTTCAGGGATCTTATTGATACAGCGATTAAGGGGGGGGGGAACACATGTATGGTTCATTCTTAAAATCGTGACGACGAGTTGACTGCGGTCTTTTCGCACACAGGAGCATAAAACACTCATACAAACAGGCATCAACTCACGCCCAGCTCAGTTACTTCCAGTGCCTGAATACTATCATCTATGACTTAATAATAACGGGCTAAGGGTTGTTTACGTCTGTTTGTCTGTGTGTCTGTGTGTACGTCTGTCTGTCACGAAATTCGTAGAGCGAGTTCCAGCCAACCTTAATTTTGGACAGCGGATGCTGCCAACGTGAGAGTCCAATATACAAATGCACGAGCGGATCCCTTGAGTGGATCCCTCGAAAAATGCGCGTGAAACGGATCCACTTGGCTTTTGGCCAGTGAAATTGAGCCTGTAGCACAACTTTTTGCAAAGCCACTGATATGTTTGATAAGTTAATGTGCAAGCCATGGACTTGAGCCTAAATAAGTGAACTAAAGTTTATTACTTTGCGAAAACGGCGTCAAAAAGAATAGATTACGTGAATGGCTAATTTGCTAAGATTTTACCCGCTCGTTTGAGAAGATTTTTGCACAGATATGTAGTCCACGGTGATTATGGCATCTTATAGCGAATATCAAGCCATGAAAAGTCCAAAAACCAATTCAAATTTGCATTTGTTCTTTTGCGAAAAGTTACATCCACGTGAAATCACCGATCTTACATGAAAAAGCTTTTGGAATGAATAGTTGTTTACATATTATTCGCAATAGTCGGCATTGTGCGGTGAGTTTCAATGCCATTATTAGGCGAGAATAAGTAGACGTATAGAGTAGGACCAGTGCGAACCTCTGCGAAGCAGAGGTGACGCACTGGTAACTTATAATAACGGGCTAAGGTTGTTTACGTTTTTTTGTGTGTGTCTGTCTGTCCGTTACGAAATTCGAGGAGCATGTTCCAGCCAACGTCCTGATCCCAATTCTTGCATGGCGCATGCGAGCAGCGTGAAAGTACACTATGCGAAAGCACGAGAGGATCCGCTGACTGGATCCCTCAAAAATCGCGCGTCAAACGGATCCACTTTGCTTCTGACCAGCAAAATTGGGTCTGCACCACCACTTTTTGCGAAGTTGGGATATGTTTGACGAGCTAATGTGGAAGCCATGGACCCTAGCCCAGAAAACTGAACTAAAGTTGATTACTTTACGAAGTTGGCGCGAAAAAGAATTAGTTGCGGTAAATGTTCAATTTACCAAGAATTTAATTGACCTTTGAGGAGATTTTTGCACAGAGATGTAGCCCACGATGATTATTGCCCTTATGGCGACTGCCAAGCCATAAGAAACCCAAAAACCGAATCAAATTTGCATCTATTCTTTTGGGAGAAGTCTCATCCACGCGAAAATACCGATCTCACACGAAAAAGCTTTAGGAATGAGTAGTTTTTTACAAATCATTCGTGATAGCCTGCATAGCGCGGTGAGTTTCAGTGCCATTATTATGCGGAAATGAGTAAGGCATACAGAAAGTAGGAGTGCGAACCTCTGCGAAGCAGAGGTGATGCACTGGTCATATATAAGCAGAAGAACCATTTGAGTAGAGACAGGTAGGTACCAGAGTGAGCGAATATTTTGTTCAGCTTCGTTCAGCTGCAGAAGGTGCGCAGAATTGCCATCGTCACGATTTTTCGAATGCCCCATGGATATCTAGTTATCGTGTGCTACAACTCTTGCTTGACCCTGCTCCTATAGAAGGTTATAACCCAGGCGACCCAGCAATAATCGTTGGCAAAATACGGCCGATTTAGGAAGCCCCTGCATCATAATAATAAGCAAGATATATTTTAGGAACTCGCTTGCACGCAAAAGCAATTTCTTCATTGAAGGACGGATGAACTTTGCTCAGACAGTCGCTGCGGCGGCGGGCGCGCCATAATAGCGCTACAGTGCGAGCGGCGCGCTCTATTTGATGCTGCCGTGCGAGCGGCGCGCCCTATTTGAGGCTGCCGTGCGAGCGGCGCGCCACAGTTGAGGCTGCAGTGCGAGCGGCGCGCCATCGTTCGCAGCCGGCGAGCGGCGCGCATTATTACGGCCGCCGGCGCGCTTATTCGACACTCGGCGCGGCGGCGCGCGCGCCACTATAACTCTGTATTGCGAACGGCGCGCCCTAGTTGAGAGTGCGAGCGGCGCGCAATCTATCAGTGAGTGGCGTGCCATGATATCTTCCGCATTTTCACACGCTGTAAGCACAAGCGATACCTGCGTGAAGTACGACGCAGTGTTTTGGGTGCTTTATCGCCAATTCATTAAGGTTATCGCTGTTTCGCAATGAAGTTGTCTCATTAACACAAGTGGGATTCTTCTAGTTCTTCCATTGAGACTCAGTCCTCTAAGCACCGCGAGTAGGTGCCGAGTTTAAATTCAAGTTTGAGAATTTGAATTTTTGAAATTTGAATTTTCAAATTTCAAAAATTTGGAAACTCTGGAAACTTCAAGTTCATATTTGAAATTGAAGCCATTGTTTGCCTGAAATTGAAGGTTGTCATCAGGTCTACCACAGATTCACCGTGATTCGCAGTGCTTCAAATGCGAATGGCAATTTTCATACCGTGCGAGCGGCGTGCCATTATCATATGGCGCGCGTCCCATCTACTCACGGCGCGCGTACCATTTACTCGCGGCGCGCGTGCCATCTACTCGCGGCGCGCGCGCTATTTGACGGCCGGCGGCGGGCGACATGAGGGGCCGCACGCATAGGACGCGCGCGCCGCCGCAGCGAGTGTCTGAGTTGCGTGACCCAGCGCCAACTACCGTACGCGCACTACGTCAGATGCAATTGCACAATCTGATGGTTGAGCAATCTGACTTCTTGTTTCAGGGTTTGGACACCATTAGTGTTTCAGAGTTGTTTGTTTGAGAATATATAGGCCAGTATATAATCATCTAATTCATGCGGAGAGTTCGGCTTGCTTGGATGGGCGCCACGCCACGCCGCATAATTCGGATGTCATAGATTTTCCGTTGCTGATCTTATTGTCCTTTTGAATTTTTGCCAATGGACTTGGTTAGCTACTTATCTTGGCACCCTTATCTAAGGACGTTTTTTGTGTATTTCGGTTCTCACCAAAAGTGACTTTTCGCGGAGCTAATAGATATTACAATTCCATTCCATATCGCGGTTTGTTCCTTATCGTCATTTGTGTTTAGCAACACTTACTACGTTTTGCTTTCAGGGTAGATAGTCGAAATGACTAAATTTTATATATGTCCAGAGTCTGGATCCGATGACAACGATGGGACGGAGGAGAAGCCTCTGGGCACTTTGTTTCAGGTATTATTTGTTTATGTTTCACTTCTTACTATCGTTCATTGTGTTGCCTACTCAGTACCATATGCATGTATTATAAGAGAAGAAGATCAAGGCCCCAGACAGACTTCACGCGATTTGATCGTCCCGATTTGATCGCCGCGATTTTCATTCATTTTCATTTTACATTCAAAAATTTCGAGCTGGAAAAGTATCACAACCGAAATGCAACCTGATCGGCATGCAGTGAACTTGTAACAGTTGTCTTGTAGCGATTGAGTCGCGACGGTTAAATCGCGTGAACTCTGTCCGAGGCCTAACAAGTTGCAAGTCTGTTAGCAGAAATAGCGCACGCCTACAGAACCAAATTTCTTTATAATCTTTATCATATTCTTTACCCTATCTGCGAAATGACTCTGTCCTGTTTGTCAATATTGGAATGATGTCTTTCAATCTACACTCTAATCAATTGATTAACGTGCCTTTGCAGACTGTATACTCATCATTCTTATTATCTGGTCTTTGCCTTTTTGATGCACAATGAGTCATAGATATACATCCACTAATCATTCGAAGACTCCTTTCGCTGATAAGGAAAGCACATTCAAAACAGGTTTTTGAAAATCGCTATCGTTGTTACACATTCTATGCCTGTTCTTGACTTTATGATCTCAAGGAGTGTTGAATCTGTTGTCGAGACGATAAGCGAATTCTGCTCGAGCTTCTTGCTATAGTTTTTCAACGTAAACTCGCTCCTCACTTTTTGGATGTAAGGTGTATTAGTTTCGATGCATTTTTCGAGCATAGAGCCTAAAACAATTTTTTCCATGCTTTGCTGTGGAGCTTTTTCCTTGAATGTTTGGGCAGCTTTCCCGCTATCACTAGAAATTTTTATGTATGGAGGTTTTTTTATGGAGTTCAGAAAAAGACCTCCATACACTTCATCTCATTTGCGAATATGGGAGTTTCTTGCTCAACTTAAATGTCGCAAAAATAGACTGAGGTCATTTTGAAGAAGGAGTGAGGCAAATTCGTATAGATTGTCTTTGACGTGTCAAATTAACATTAAAGATGTGCTTGCTGCTGTCTGGTAGTTTTGGTATGAAGTTAGAATTGTGTCAAATGAGTCTGCTACCGGGCGGACTTTGGGGTGATCATTTGATCCAAAAGTACCTTTTTCTGTTTTTAGCTGTGATTAGATTGACAATTCATTATCACTGATTTGGTGAAATCCATAAGCATCAGAATTTTTTTTTGTTGTAATATTCAGGCTATGGTTTTGTCCAAGAACTCTGGCGAGTTCTTGATTCGAACCGTCAAAGAAGATGGTACCAAGACATGGGAACCTGCTGCTAAGGCGGCCATCAAGAAGAATCTTAAGAAGTGATTTTTTCTTGGCTCGTACAGCCACATTACGGACTCTTTTTTTAGGTACGAGGCCGAGCTAAAGAAAGCGGAGAAAGCTGCAGGTCGAGCTAAAGAGCAGGAGGCAGCTGCCCAAACAGCCCTCGAGGAGGCCAAAAAAGTAGGAAATTGTTTGTTGTTCTTCGTTCTAATCGCGCACCATAAATTTTGATTGAAGATCACGTTTTCTTTGGACAAGTCGTTGCCGTCAGCTACCCTCGTCAAAATTAGAGACTGTGTAAGCCATCGGGGTGATCGAGTACGAGTGAAAGCTTGGGTCCATCGGCTACGAAGGCAAGGTAGCAGCATTCTTTTTTGGATATCACTTTTGCTTAGTAGAGCAGCAAATTTGCATTGTGCTACTTTTCTACATTTTGTTCTTTTCAAGGAAAGTCGCTCATGTTCTGGGTGCTCCGTGATGGTTCCGGCTACCTACAATGCGTGCTCAATGACATTCTGGTCGGTTTTATACTTTCATTTGAATTTTTAGAAATGGTTTTTGACAATCAATTTTTCACCAATGAGTCTTTCTGAACAGTATGTTGAACTTTTTTAGCAAATCAGCTTATGATTACTATAGCTCTATGTTGTAATTGCGTTCGTCTTAACGCTTTTTGAAGTTGTTTTTGCGAAGTATGGCAGTGTTTAGTGTCAAAGTTATGACGCCGTGACGCTGAACACCGAAAGCTCAGTAGAAGTTTATGGAACCATTCAGAAGGTAAGGAATCTAGTGTACATAAGATTTGGCTATCTTTGCCATATAGGTACCAGAGGGGAAGCAAGCCCCAGACGGCCACGAGCTCATCGTAGACTATTGGGAGCTGATCGGTCCTGCACCACCAGGAGGTATAGACAACGTGCTGAACGAAGAAGCTGGAGTCGAAGTGATGCTTGACAACAGGTGAGATTGTGCTCTTCTTCGTCTTCACGTTCGAAGTTCAGTTTCTGAATAATCTGCACAATGCTTTGTCAATTCAGGCATCTGGTTATACGCGGCGAGAACGCTTCCAGAATTTTGCGGATTCGAGCTGCGGCTACTAGGGCGATGCGTGAGCACTTTTATCATGCAGGTTATACAGAAATGTGCCCACCAACTTTGGTGCAGACACAGGTGGGTCATGTATCCGCTCTTGCTAGATTTATTTCAAGAAGCAGGCATCCCGGGTTTCACTCCGGTTTGGAGCCAGTCTGTCAGTCTAAACTCCCCTTCCTGCACACCCTACACACTCTGCCCACCTGCAAACCCTACTCACCCTGCACACCCTGCACAACCTGCACCCGAGTGTGCACAAACACACAAACTCATAGATTTTCTACTCTATATTTATAGAGATTATTTGAAATCCGACTTCGGTTAGCTCTTTTCATAGCAGCTTTCTGTTCTATCAGTTTTTGGCAATTGTTCGATTTGTCGAATGTTAGCAAATATGCAATCTCTTTGTCAAATGCGCAGCGTTTTGGCACAGATATCCTAGGTATCCCAAGGTTTTTTCAGGTAGAGGGTGGTTCAACATTGTTCGCTCTTGACTACTTTGGAGAACCGTCCTACTTGACACAATCGTCCCAGTTATACTTAGAAACATGTATCGCATCCCTAGGAGATGTATACTGCATCGCTCAATCGTATCGGTTAGTTTAGCTCCATCTTGCTTAACGAAGTTTATGTGGGAGCTGTTCCTTATCCAGGGTAATGCTTGATCTCATATTTAGCGCTGAGAAGTCGCGCACTCGTCGCCACTTGGCAGAATATGCTCATGTAGAGGCGGAATGTGCTTTCATAACATTCGACGAGCTTATGGACAAGATCGAAGACATTGTTTGTGATACCGTGGATCGGTTGATGTCAGATCCGCATGTGAAACCACTCATTGACTATGTCAATCCTGTACGTTCATATCAGTGGTTCAAATTGCGTGTATTAGATAATCTGTTCAGAACTTTAAACCACCACAAAGGCCATTCCTTCGCATGACCTACAACGATGCGATCAAATGGTTGATCGAGCACGATGTTCGTAATGAGCATGGCGAGAAATTTGTGCACGGTGAGGATATTGCAGAAGCAGCAGAAAGGAAAATGACGGACACGATCGGGGTTGTGAGTTTTCATCTATCTATGTAAATTGTGTCAGATTTCTTTGCCTTTTTCTCACTTATCTCAGGTGAAATCTATCAGGTTTAGCTAATGATTTTCAGCCCATCTTGCTGAACAGGTTTCCAGCTGGAATCAAAGCTTTCTACATGTCTCGATGTAAGGATGACGACTCTCTTACGGAATCTGTGGATCTCCTTATGCCAGGTGAGTCCTGCAAATGTTTGCTGTGGTTTTAATGCAGCATTTCCTTTTGTCACATCTGTCCTTGCTCAGTCGCTTCTGCTTATATATACATAAGCCATGCAATCTTATCGGAAGGATTAACGCATACCAGCGCGGCAGCCTTTTATCGGACTACATAGGTTCTTTCAGGGAACGCACATAGATTGCCGGCAACGGTTGCCGGCGTTGTTGAGGTTACCGGCGTTGCCGGTCGTTGTAGTACCCCGTAGTAGCCTCCACGTTTGCGCGCTCTCTTACCTCTTAACCCCGGCAATCCCGGCAACCGTTGCCGGCAACCTATGACCATTCACTCACAGGCGGCATGAGGCGGGTTCAAGTATAGCATGCCCGTTCACTAAGATCATGTTTGCGCCTTCTTCCGGCAGTAGACTTTATGATTGTGCTTCATTTGGGGATGATCGGGTATAGGACATCATACCTTGATAGACGCCGCCTGCGAAAAGGCTGTAGTGTATGGAGACCATATTTCTGGCAGGTGTGTGTGCGGGCGAAATCCTTTAGACGATACAACGTGTCTAAGATGACACAACATCCCTTACCCGTTTAATTCACTAGCGACTTTCGTTTACGGAACATTTTTTGCGACTACACCATGTGACTATTCCTTGCAAGCATTCAGGCAGCTTCTGCTTTTATTTCTTGTCATCTCGGCTTTTTTTATTGTTTCGAAATCTGAGGAGCAAATTCGATGTTTTGTGAACCTTAAGACAAAGCGGGATGAGTGCTCTGGCACTAACCCGTGAGGTGCAGGCAGGATATAGAAGCCTTGTAAGTTCAAAATGTGGGCTAAAATTTCTACGCATCAGAAGTCTGAAATGTGAGGGGAGCCACTTCTGAACCATATCTGGAGTTGGGCTCCAGTGGGGGACTTTTGAATTGTGTCAAATTTGCACTTGGGCCGATTCCACTCGGACGCTTTGATAATGAAAACTTGCAATTGTTCGTCAGTTACAGGTGTTGGCGAGATCGTTGGAGGGTCCATGCGTATGTGGCATGAAGAGGATCTCCATAAAGCTTTTAATGCAGCGGGTATTGATCCCAAGAATTATTATTGGTGTGTTACTTATTCTCATATCAAGAACTGTATCTGATCGAACTCAATATGATGATTCCTTCAGGTATACCGATCAAAGAAAATATGGAACTGTGCCTCATGGCGGCTATGGTTTGGGTCTAGAACGTTTCATCTGTTGGTTAACAAACACATACCACATCAGAGACGTTTGCTTATATCCAAGGTTTATTGGGAGATGTGCACCTTAATTTTTGTCTTCCCTGTGGATCTTTATAATGAGCTTCTGATATGCACTACTTTTATCTGACTAGGAGGACACATTTTCTGATTCAAAAATTGTTGAGTTATCTGTTGGCAGTATGGCAAGTTGTTATGGTAATTTATGGGCTGTGCGGTATAGGAATGTACTCATCTTATTTAATAAGCCATCTGTTGTCCACCCCTTGTAGTCTTGAGTATCGGGATTGTTCCTTGACCCGTGAACATGTTATGAGAAACGTGCTTATTGTGATTGTTGGCATGTTGTCTTCTAAATGAATCTATCAACTATCAATAGTTTTTTGGATCTGCAACAAACTCAGTTATGGTTATGGTCTATGGTTATGCGCCTCTTTACTGAAATGAATATATTCTTATGAAAATGGAGGTGTAATTGAGCGGATTTTCAAGGCAACGCTTTGTTGGTACTGGATCAATATTTCATTGCACTTGAGCTTCCACACATCGGAATAATTATAGTCGGAACCGCATATTTGATCGAATATTGTATTCGTATTCGAAAATTCAAACAGTCAAGTGTCAACAATGCTAAATCTAAACTTAGAATTCGAATGAACAAATATTCAAATAAATGCATTCGGTGAAATATTCGACTATCCGAATAAGTCGACTAATTGTACATGGTCGGATTTCCGAACATTTCGAATAAATTATTCGAATTTGAAAGTTTGGTTCCATTCTAATAACAATATTTCTATAGTTTATCACAAATCGAGATCATGAAGCCCGCAACATAGTGGTACCCGAAGGCATGGACTAGATTACATTAGTGTAAAACAAAGTCTCATGAGATAGATACTAGAACTGGAAAGTTAACACTAACTTACATATGTTCTATCTAAAGATGTTCCTTGAGGCACAAGAGAATCTAATCTTGGTGTAGGAATGACAGTTGTCTGTATCACAGAGTGGTGCTTTGACAGGTACTATAGATGCGAATTCTGCAGGTAGAACTTTGCCCTGGGAATTTCCCCGCTGGGATTCTCATCTGGGGTTCTTGGTAGAATTCGCCGAGGTCTACGCTCTTCCGCGGCAAACTCTTTAGTTCGGCCCGTTCGCAATTCTTCCTGTGCTTTTAGCACTAAGTTTTCAACAGCATCTGGAGCAAGTCGTGTGGCCACGATCGGTGGAGGTGGTGGTGGACTGGGAGTTGATAAGGCTGAAGCTACTGTCTCTTGAGGCATGGGCTCTGCTATGGGGTTTATTGACTCCGTGGATTGACGTCCCATAAAACGAGTTTTGCTGTTGTTGGGAACCGAGCCATTGGGTAGTTTCGCAGGAGGTTTCGGTTTTGTGGCTTGCCTTTTTGCAAGGGCCCTTGCAGCTCTTGGAGAAATAGCGCTTTTGCGTGGTGTACTTTTCTTTGTTCGTTTTGCTTTCTTCTGATTGTTTTGCTCTGTCGTTTTCGTCTTGACTGAAGAGCTTATATCTGCATTAGGCTCTTCATCGCTTTCCTTATCCTCTTCATAAATCGATACTGTTTGCAAGTTGGAGATGGTTACACGAGGTCTGGCAGAAGTAGGCTGATCGTCTTGGTCAATGCTTACTTCTCTAGTTGATCTCCTCCTGTACATAGCCCTTTTCACTGCTCCATCAAGCTGCTTTGCTACAATCTCGTCTTTTCCTCGTTTCATCAAAGCCTTAATCACCGGTGGTTCATGGGGATATCTCGCTCGAACGGTTTTTGAAGTGAGAGGGAGTTCCAGTACATTGGAAGCCTTCTCCTCTCCCACTGCAGGGCGCTTCAATCTGTCCTTTAGAACTTCTCCATTAGCACGAGCGGCTTCAGCTTCTTGAAAAATTAGGGAAACGTTGGTTTCTTGCTTTTGTAACCGACGACTATTTGTCACATCGTTGGTTACAGAATCTTCTGGAGCATCCGTATCGGACCAAGAATTTTCCGACAAATGCATAAGCTTTTCCACTGTGAGCTCCTGTGGTTCTTCTATAGACTCTCTGGGCCTCATTGGCTTATCCCTCCTTGAGCGATTGTTTGCATTTCGCACAATCTGTCCAAAACGAATTTTCACAGCTGAACTCCATAGGCTATCCACATGCCAATACCAGTGCCAGTAAACGTAGAGCTGGAAAGCTGCATTGAATCAGGTGGTCCCTTCTAAATTGAAAATAAGGAACGATTACCAAAAAGAAATTGAGCATTGTCCCTGTGATGTAGATAGAAATAGGCACAAAAGGTATAGCACGAGTATTTTCCATCATCTGCGGAAGTATTCGAGGAAGTGCTGCGATTAGAAGAATGAGGAGACCTATTCCATAGGCGGATTGCTGGAATATAATAATTCGGATTTTATCAATTTTATATTCAACAGAGGCAAATAAAACAAAAGGAGAGCAACTTTGCAGGGCTAACAAAATAATAAAGCTTGATTGGGTTGCTCTAAGTGAAGGGGATTAATGAATTAGAAGCAAAGAGACCTTCTCAAAAGACAATGGCTTGGAAATCATGAGCTATCATATGCACAATTTTTGAACAAAATTTGAACTCTCTAGACCAACGATCGGGTTTTTTTCTCAAATGTCTTTGATGTCACAAATAGTCTGCCTTGAGGTAATTGAACTAAAGTCAAATATCATAGCATTTTCTGTAATGTTATGGTCTAGTCTCCTTCTTCAAAACCTGTGAATTGAAATCATGCCCTTTCAAACATCTCATCACTTGCAGAATAAGTCACAGAAGTGGTATCTAAAAACTTGGGCCAAGATGATTGAGCCAAATATTAGCAATCTAAATGAGTGCTAGTAATATAGGGGCGGCTGAACGAACTCAAGTTAATACAACCTTATGGTTAGACTCATCAAAGAAGAACATGTGAAGTTTCAAACTATTACCTTGAAATTGCTTCATCGGTGTCAGTTTTTCGGGAAAAAATTTTGGGGTGCTTCTCAATATTTTTGCGTGTCCATAACCCCTAAAATCTTCTCAAACGGGGCGTGACGGCAGCCACGCCCCCGAAACTTTTTTTAAAAGGCTAAAGTGAGTTTTTGAAAATTTTCAAAAATCACTTTAATTATTCACAAGAATGGCGTCCCCCCCCCCTTCTGGTAAGTTAGAGACAAATTCTACATGGTAGTGCGCACTTATTCCCCATCTTTGTAATGGATGTGTATATGATAAACATCTTATTCGTCAGTCATTAATTATACATATTAATTATATTAAACATATTATTTATAAATTTCGCTAATTTAGCTTAACAATACCAGTTTTGCTCAATCGATATTGTGTGTTGCTTCGACATGCTCCCACTTTCGATTTGTAGATCAGAAACGGCAATGTATCAGAATTAAAGTTTATAATTTGCGACTATTTTGTTGCTGAAGGCCGTTAGATGATTCTACAGAATGCCGTGGTGAACATCTACCTGTTTCAAAATTGAATTCAAATCCGCAAATGTGCTTAAATATGTAAGTGATCTGGTAGATCAGCTCTAATTCCATCGACCGCGCCACCGACGCCATATCGATTATACATTTCAAAGCATTCTTGCAGCTTACACGCTACTTATTGGTAGTCTCTTTCTTCGCTCACATATACATTTAGGCTTTTAGAGTCATATCTTCTGACTTGGGTTAATGGCAACATATTCGCAGATCATCACTTGTTCCCATTCCCTTCAGGAGCGAAGCATTTTCTGCATTGTCAGATTGTGTTTCTCTATGAGTATTTGTGGGAACTGAGCAAAGGGGTTTTAGGTCTAACCATCTCCGGGATAGAGAAATTGTTACATTATTACAGTCTTCATGCTCACATAATGGCACAGCTTAAAGGTTACTCCGAGTCTGGTTACGGTAAAGCGTTCCTAATAATATTATGACAGCAGTGGCGATCCGAGGAATTCTTTGTGGGGTGCCGCAGAAATCTTTCAAACGAAGGGGCGTGACATTAGCCACTTTTCCGAAAAAATATTTGGGATGCTTTCCAAAATTTTAGCGTGTTCATATTCCCGAAATTTAGAAGGGAAGGGCTTGGCGGCAGCCACCAAGAAATTCTTTTACGAGTTAAATCAGGGCATCTAATTCAAAATTTCTAATTAGCAGATGGCAAGAAGTCATGCGCAGTTTCAATACTTAGCGGTTTCATCCTTTTGGCATAAACCTTATGATCTCCTTCACGCAAAATACGTAATCGCAACATACCATCTTTTTGGAGGAAATTTCAAGAGAATTTGAGATCCTAAGTTCTGACTTGAATCATGAGAATAGCATCAAACTAATCTGTATTACATTGAGGCCTCATACATAAGCATTGGATGGTTGTTCCTTCTGCAGAATTTAACCTGAATTTGCTGCTGCTCACGTTTTCTCTACAGAAAAGAGTCAAAATGTGGAAGAAAATTAGAAAAAAAACTAGAATAACATTCGCTTAGCATACTAATTAGGTAACTACTTCTACCGAACTACACTCGATTGGACGCTTTCCTGCAATTTGATGACTATGAGCACTGACTGAAATTTATAAGAGTGCGCTGTGTTCAATTTGCGCTAATCTCCGGATTAGATATTCGGGTCTACACAAGGCAAAAACTGAACAGCATTTTGCCATTACTTTTGCGTGACCCGAATAGGTAAACAATAATTCCTCTGTAACCCCTGAGTTTCTAAAGACGTAACTTTGCGTCATGTGCTTTTTCCGAAGAAAAATTCTAGGAAAACTCTAATTAGCAATTGCAGTGTAATGCTTGACTATCCGTCTCCTCCCGGAAGAAGGAATGCATCCAGCAACCTACGCATTCCTGTGAGTTTTTGTCCTAATTCCTGAGACTACGTTTTTTAATGTTCACGAAGTGATGAAGAAAGCAGCTGCACTTTAGCTGCGTAAACTTGAACTTTCTGTTTGCATAGTCAGTCCAGACAATCTAAATGATTTGCAAGGTGGTGACAGTGCACAGCGGAAGTGATTAATACCCTCTCAATGACTCGGTTTACTTTGAATACCACAATGGTATCAACAAGGAAAGACTTCTTTCTTTTTGGAAGACCGAGTTTTTAAGCATCACAAGAAAGTATCACACACTGAAGAAATTAGAAAAGAAGAAATCTGGTAACAATCTCAAAATACATGACCATTTATTTGGTCGAGAAGAATAAAGTGTCAGTTCGCATACTGGCGAGGCACGGTCAAAATCAAAACTAAAGGGTACTGCTCTATAGAGTAAAGTAAACTCTACAAGATAGCTTCAGATCACATAATGGCGATGCACGCGGAGTCCGAAGCTGGAATTTGAAAACTTCTAAATATCCCTAGAAGGGAATCTCCGCTCAAAAAATCCTACTAGTTTTCACTAAAACCACCACAGAGTGAATTCATAGTGATGTATAGAAAGGCACTGTCAAATTTTTTGCGTAGCTAGAATTTTGAATGGACAAAAAATACGAAATCGTCGTATTTCTAATTGTTGAATCTGACATTTCTCGATACATAGGCACATACAAGGATATGATATCTATAATTGTACTCCTAATTTTTCGTATAGCAAGCACATATGATAATAGTCTCTTATATGACCATGTGTGAGTTTTGTGGGATTTTACGCGGAGATTCGATTTTTCGAGCTAGTTGCCACTGATTATGGCTTCAAGCTTTATATCTGTCACCGCGACTTATGCGAAATATTGTAAAGCCTGTCTTGAAGAGTTTGGCCTGTTCTGTCAAATAATATACTCATACATTTTCTGAAACTCACCTTGTTGCAGTGCCATGTGAAACAACCTTCTTTTCTTCTAGAATCAATAATAAAAGAAGCGGCAATGGCTTCATAAATCCAAATTAGTGCTCTGCTTACTAATTATAGCTCGAAAATACTTTGTTTTCAATCCACTAACGAGGGAAGTACTTTCAATGGCCGTGGCCGTTTATGAGATGCATATCGGCTAAAGCATTGAACGCTAATTTCAAATCTGCATTCCGTTTCTGCGGAACGCTCTTCTGGAAGGAGTTATGCAAACCGTTAGGCGCTCCTTAGGTTCGAGGACGCCGCTGTATAGTTAAGGATGCAGTGAGGTAGTGGTTAGCGTGCTGGCATTAGAGGAGAGACGTCAATGGTTCGAAACCAGTGGAGTAGCTCCCATTACATGCAGCTATGCCAAAAATCTTTTTTTCATAGGTCAAATGTCAAAAACATGGCTGTAAGTGTCTGCGAAGGTCTCAAGTGCGTATTTAACTCGTACTCAAAGTTCAAAAGGTCTCGCTCTTCACCGGATTTGAACCATCGACCTCTCGCCTCTAATGCCAGCATGCTAACCACTACACCACTGCAGCAGGAGCGTCCGCACTCCTCGAACTTAAGAAGCTCTAAAAAAGGGATTTTCTTGCTTCCATAACTCCTTTTGGAAGAATGTTCAGCAGAAACGGAATGCAGATTTGAAATCGGCGTTCAAGAATGCCACAGCCAATATGCTGACATCAAACGGACACGGCCATTGAAACTACCTCCTTTGTAGTGTAAGTTCAATCGCTATTACCAACTTAGGCTCGCATCTTCAATCGTTTTAGCTAGAGTGTTCTTGCAAAGAAGGTTGTTCGGAATCAATGATCTGCACTAGAAAGTTATTTGCAAGTTTACAAACCATATAAAATTAGATCTTTCTAGCTTTACCTAGAATTGTGGGCTGTCTGACCGCTAAAGAACATATAGAACGCCCACTTCTGGTGATCGGTCCTCCTTAATTCTCAGCATCACTACACTCTTGAGTACTTCACTAACAGTAAGACACTCATGTACTAGTGCGCTAAAAGTTTATACCCCTGTACTCCACCAGAACATTCATTATGCCAGATAGTAGTAGTGAAAATCATCCAAAAAAGGAACGCTTTGAAAAAAATTCTGTCAGTCCCTAGATCTATTCATAAGAAAGTTCTGTACGTGCGTGCATTTGCGACTGCGAATGTGAGTGAGTGCGCGTTTGTGAGTGTGTGTGCGGTGCGTAGATGCAAAAGTGCATGTCCCGTCACCACCTGATACGTATAGACAGTCCTTGTCTGCACCTCGCTGATCCACGCAGTCTTCTTGACATCACACCGTCTCACATCCTGCCTGACTCCTACGACGTCTCGATGTCTCAACCCGATGCTGGACCGGTTCGTGGTTCGCCTTAATTTCTTTGCACTTTTGCGAAGTCCCATAGTTTGGCCGAATGAACAGCTGCCGGTATGTGTGTGTGCCTGTGCAGGCAGGCGCTCACTGGCGCGCGCGATTTTT